TTGCTTGCTCTGGTGCACAGGCTGCAGTGGGATTTTGGTCTTCATGCCAGTCTAAACTGCTCATGGCTCTATAACGTTGCTTGCTGGCCTTAGAGTACTTTCACATATCACAAATGCAAATCCCAGGCTCTGTGTTTCAGCTGACTTCAGCAACAGGCGCTCCTGGACACGGACCTTTCTGAGGATCTGGACATTGCTCCAGTCGGACATCTAGGAAGCTACTTAGTAAAGTGTATGTGCAAAATTCAAAGTGGAGGAAGGTGAGAAAATTAATGAGCAGGTGTGCCTGGGTCATGAGGGCTTATGAGCCATTCATGCAAGCGTTTCTCTTAATAGCAAAAAAACTTTTTTTGTAGAAGCCAAATATTTTGATTTGCCTGGAACAGTTTGGGAGGGAACTCTTCTGAGCTCAGATTGTTTCCTAATTCAAAGGGAAGTATGAACATGTGGAAAATTAAAGGTTCCCTCCTTCATGTTGCTCTAATAGTGGCACCTGTGAAAGGTCTGATATTTTACTGCATTTTCAGTAGTTCCAGCCATGAAAGTTTGATCTATGCAGTTCTGTCCAGCCCTTGCCAATGAAGGCTGATGAAACTGCAGTTGATCTCTCTGTTAAGTGGGTTCAGATTGATTTGCATTTGAACGCTTTCCATTTTGGAGATTAGATAAAGCGAGCTAACTTTCATTTTTACCCTTAGTGCAGAATACCTTTCTCTTTGGATCCTGGTTGGCCCAGATCCTTCATTTCCCTTCTCATGTAGGTCATTGATTTTGCCATTCTAGCTACAGCAGCAGCTCCGATGCACAGTCAAGGAGCTATCCAGAGGGAAGGCAGGATCGGTCCTGCTCGTAGGACTGGTTGTCTCAGTGTGGCCCAGAGCAAGGCTGTCGCTGCTCCCCCATTACGTTACCATCCCTGGCTGCACACCCACAGTAAGAGGTCAGAATTTGCCCTCATACAAATTCATCTGAGATATATCTGTAGATATATGAAAAGATAGATAAAGATATAAAACTTATCGATATAGAATTAAAACAGACCCAGGGCTAGAAAAATCCTTTGGTCAAGCTTAGGACTTTTTTTTCGTCCTAAAGAGGAACCAGTTTCCATCCCATTTCCTGTCAAGAAGAGCCTAAAAATGTGGTTTGATTTCAGCCAGTCTGACCTATTGCATGAAGAAACCCCATTTTGCCTCTTGCCCCTCTTTTTGAAGTGATGGCAGTCACTTCAATGGCCACAGCTGTACCAGCTACAGGCAGCAAATCTGGGTCAGCCGACTGTAGCCGGAGCTTGTACCAAGCCATTTGGGCAGGGTTTGCTGCTGTGGCTCCTGCTGGAGTTGAAGGAGGCAGGTCCCATGCCGACTGACTGCCTGGAGGGAGCTCAGCTGCATTTTCATCTGCGTTGTGGAGGTGTGCAATAAATAAATAACTTCCAAACCATAGTTTTATCATCTGTGCAGTCAGATCAGAGCAGGTCTAGAAGTGTTATGGGCCAACCCTGAGCAGCAAACTTTGCATTAAAAAGCCTAGGTCACGCATAAGAAAACGTAGGATAGTAAGTTGGTTTGAAAGGACCATGCTCCTTTTCTAGCAGGGAGAGACTGTTAATGTTATTAGCTTAAGAAATAGATTCCTGTCCCCCCTTGCTTTCTCTTTTTTATTTCTTTCTGTTTTTTTTAGCTCCTGCTATGTGCAGCTCTCCTGAACTTGGAGCTGAACTGGAGTTGCTTGCATTGTCACATGTCTTATTTAATTGTGCAAATTGCTTTCTATTTCAAGGACAAGTTAACGTAGAAATGGAAAGGATTAGAACTGTTGGGATAAGTGATCAGTCTTTCTTTTAATTTTTGGGTTTAGCATAACAATACCTACTATTTCAAAAGCAGTCCCTGGCTCTGCCCTGTTACCCTTTCATGCAGGCAAAGTAGTCACGTAGGGCCTGAGTCTCCCCTGCCCTCTCCCCTGGGATAGATCCCAAGTCCTGGGCTCTGGGCTGAGGCTTCTTGCGCAAGCAAAGATAAATGGCATGGGCGGGAAGATGCCATCAGGAAGGAATATCCCTGTCACAGGACCGAGTCTCCTTTTTAAGTCCCACATAACAAAGAAGAAACCAAGCAGAAAAAAAATGAATATATACCTCCGGGTCTGTCTAAAGACAGTGCAAACACCATAGACTGTCTTAGTAAAGCAAGTGGTAAAATGGACGTGATTCCAGCAGCCTTTTAGCCACCTCTTAAACGAATATTGACTGTTGAATCTGTGCATAGGTTTGCCTAATAATTGAATTATTGATCTGTAGTTTGCGTGGTTTTAAAGCATTTGTCTACTCATTGGGGTTTTGTTTTTTCTGCAAATTAAAGAAAATGTTTTGTTACTTAAACCCATCCAATTACTGCCATGTGTAGGTAGATGTTTTTCAGGTCATTTGCAGAGATTGAGAGCTTGCCAAGCAAACCATTTTCCTTCCTGATTTCTGTTAATGTATTAACACAATAGGGAAAAAAAGCAAAGCCAGGTGGAAAAATATCACACCCTTTTTTGGTGCTGTATGCGGCAGTAGGAAACTGTCGCTGTAAAATTGCAGTTTTCTTGTGTAATGTGAGAGATTTTCACTTCTGCTTGGTTAAATGGGAGCATGCTGCACCATTCAATAAAAGCATCTCTGTTGTAGCTGTCGTAAGGGAGCGAGTTATCACCAGCATCAGGCACGTGGAGTACTGGCAGTGCCTGTGTGCAGCTCCCATTAACACTGGTGGGGCTTTTATGGGTGGGTTGAGACCAGTGCACTGCCATTAGTGTTTAATTTTTTACAGTTGAATGTGCACCATCTCTGAGTGTAGTTATATGGAGGAAAGATGGGTGAAGATAACAGTTCACTACTCTCAAAGTCTAGGAGTGGCTTTACATGCAATGTATCCCCACTTGCTTGTGCTTGGTTTTACAGTAACCAGGCCGGCAAACATATATACGTGACTTGTTCAAATAGCGGGCTGTAAGCGTTGGAGTGAATTTACACCTGGAAAAAAACATGTTGTTTTTTGAAGGGATGATGACATCTCCTGTATAACGGGCGTCTCTTCAAAGACTCCTTTGCATTTCCCTCTTCTTTTGCTGTCTAACCTCCCCCTGCGAGGCTGGCTGGAGAAGACCCCTGAGCCCTGTGGTCCCATCTGGGGCTCTGTGAAGCTGAGGTGGCGGATGGTGCGGGGCTCTGCCTTCACACCACAGCCTTGCCCTCCGCCTCGCTCGAGCCCCGTTGAGCATCTCCCCATCCTTAACGCATTTTTCCTTGAGCGCCCGCTTCTTTTGGAAGTTAGTTATTTAAAAGGGAAAGTTAAGTGCCTGGCTGAGGGTGCAGAGAGGAGGAAAGGGCTGAGGTTGGTACTTTCTCCGCGGCCTGGTTGTCTTCTCACCTTTAAGTTATTTGTATGCACAGTTGGCTTCCCGCACTGACTGGCACTGAATGAGTCGGGATAATGTCACGGTTGCCCACAAAACTCTGCCAGCATGAGAGCACAACCTTGCCAACGCAAGGGCATTGATTAGTGCAGAGGAACTAGGGCAATCCAATTATAACTACAAATGCCATTGGCTTTCTCAAATTCTTACTCGAATAACTGCGGACTCTCTGCTGTATTAAGGTGGTCTGGACTATACCAAGAAATGGGAATGCATAGGACTTAGGTAGTGCAGAGTAAATGGGATTTAATTCTTAAATACTCTCTTGCCTATTCACACATAGGGCAAGAGGATAGTATCTTTCAGATAGGTAGAAACTGGCCGGCCCTCTTTGCCTGCCTTGATATTAGAGAATGTAATTTTTTTATTTTTTTTTTTTAAATTACTACAAAATATCCTAAAAGGAAACTAAATGGGAAAAATAGCTAGGAAGTTTCCTATCGTTTCAATCTTGTTTGAGCATTGAATATTCCTTTGTTCCCTAATACTATGCTTCCTCTAACCCACTCAGTGGGTCAGATAAGGAAATGTGATATTTTTCACCACCGTGACGAAATTAAACCAAGGCTACAAAGAGCATGAGGGTCGTAGCCTGGAGTCTTAGATAAGTAGTTCAGATCTGGCTTTATATTAAATGCAGAAGCGAACAGTCTCTCATGGATGAATCACATTCAATTAGCTACTTCCTATGATGGACTGATTAAAAATTAAGTGGCATCAAATAAGACTGATTTTGCTCTTACGTTTAAATAATGCTATAATTACATACTAATCAGATGGTAAATCTTAATTGTACATGTTCCATATGTTTTATTTGCCTGTTCTCCCTCTTCACTTTGTCGTCTTTGTATCAGCATGGAGTATATTTTCAGGCTGCTTTTATGTTTGGCCTAATTGAATATCAAAAGCAGTATATGTGAAACTTCCTGAATTCTATTCTTTAGCCAGTGGCAGCTGTGCTATTAGATGACCTTTTCATTCCCGTAGCACAGAATAATAAAGGGAGGGGGGGAATTGAAGCCCAGCCATGTTATTGTTAGAGACAGAAATAAATCATATATAATTGCTTCACTATGAAGGCCAAATCCTGCCGTCCTTCATGCCTGAGTTAGAAATACAGGATTTGGACCTTTGTTTCCTGTGGTTTCCTGGCCACCTTGGACGTGCCCAGAATCCTCACGCTGCCGCTGCGGTGGCTGATTACCATCGCTGGGCTCGCACCGCGTTAAACTGAACTGCAGCCCAGGCTCCATCCCTCCTGCGCAGGCAAGGAGATGGCTCTGCTGCAGGAAAGCCTTTGCCTGAATGTCCACCTTTAAGTGCCATTGGCTTCCATAAGATTACTTTAAAAGTTAAGAAAAACCTTAGATGCTGGATTACATGATGGGCTTCCACAGCGTGCTTTTCTGGTTTGGTTAGCTCTTTCGAACAAGCCTGCTAACTCTTCGCTGAAGTAAATATGTACTTTGGCATAACGTGGTATTAACTTTATTCACTCCAGAAGGTACTTTATGGTTTTGTCTGCTTTTTAATCGTAGATCATGAACACAGTCACAAAAAGAACAAGCGGAAACACTGGAGAAGACAGTGGGCAGAAAGCAGCATATTGTCTGACATGGAGATGCTGAAGCACAGCCTGGAAGTGAATTCGTTCTCTGCAGATAGCAACAAGACTGGGAACGTCAGCGAAAAGAAGAGCCACAAACGAACAAAGCGGTTTCTCTCCTACCCTCGGTTTGTGGAAGTGATGGTGGTGGCTGACAGCAGGATGGTCGCCTACCATGGAGCCAACCTACAGCACTATGTCTTAACGTTGATGTCAATAGTGAGTATTCAACTGGGGGGTGTAGATCCATCCACGGATTGTTTTCTAGTGGTCATAGAGCACCCTTTGTGCTGTGTTCATATAGAATACTGTCATTTTGCCTCGGCCAGGCATGGAGATAATGCTGGCTTTAGAGTAAAGCTTGGTAAAACTTGGCTGGGGAACACTGGTGGGAGTCTTCTTCCTTCCCAGACCCATCATGTTTCTTAACCCTTTCCACACCTCTCCCTTCCAGCTTTCCGAACCCCAGGCAGCACGAGAAATATCACTGGCCCTTTTAGTCCACATGCTGTACTCTTTATTTAAGCCCATGTGAAATAGCAGCTAAATTAAAAAGGTGCTTCGGGGACTGTGCCTCCCAAGGGACTGATGCTAGTAGGTTGTGCGGTTGCCTGACTTCCCTTGCTGTTGCAAGGAGAAGGAGCCTGTGGTCACCTTGATCCTTAGCACAGTGCTAGGGTTGGCTTTCCAGGCTGAGGGCAAGCATTTTAGTAGCTGCTGGTACTGGGATGCAGCAGTGCAGCCCCCAAACAGGCAGCTCTGTTGATGGAAGGTGACTGGAAGCAAGTATCCAGCATAGTTGTGTCACTGGGGGGATTTTCATCCAATTCGAGGGTAGAAGTGCAGTGAACATGTGGTCTAAATCTGTGCATGTCAAAATGAGGCACTTGAGAGAATAAGTTGCTTTTGAGCAGCCTTGGTTGGTGATCATTGTAGCTCAGAGCAGAATGACCCTGTAATTGGGTGAAATGTGTGCTAAAGCTAAAGGAAATGTTGGGTTTCTGGGATACCAGCAGGTTTATTTCCTTCTAAAATTGTGCTTCTGGCAGGAGGTCTCTCCAAGTAGCATCAGAGCACTGAGTGGGGCAGCAGAGCAGCTCAGGAGAAAAACAGTTGTGAAATGGAAAATGTGTGTGTGTTGTCTTAATTTTTGATGTCCTTGAATGTTAGCGATAATTCTGAATATTTCTTTTTTTTAACCAGGTGGCTTCTATCTACAAAGACCCAAGTATTGGAAATTTAATTAATATTGTTATCGTGAAATTGGTCGTGATACATAATGAACAGGTAATGAAAGTGATTTTCTTCACCTTCTGTCTGACAGTGGCGTTTGTAGTGAGCATTGCAATGAATAATTAAAATACTTGCTTTCTCTGCATTGCTTTATTAGGACGGTCCTGCAATATCTTACAATGCCCAGACAACGTTAAAAAACTTTTGCCAATGGCAGCAATCCCAGAACCACCCTGAAGGAAGTCACCTTCAACACGATACAGCCGTGCTTGTAACCAGGTATGGTGAATATTCTCATGAAGACTGTAGCCAGTTGTGTGCCAGAGACTGTGAGCGTGGGACATATCCAGCTATGGGAAATGTTTGGGTTTTGCTGCGGGTGTAATGACATTTGCAACTGTGGGAGCCGCGTAATTGTGAGCAGAACTGGGATAATGTGTCCACCATAGCTGTAGATGACTTTGAGAGGTTCAGGACTGTCCAAAGTCTGCCCATGGGTTCAATGTAAGATGAAAAACTCTGGCTATGGTAGGGAGTTGGTTCAGACTCTGACTAGACGATGTGGCAAACCAGCGTGAGAAGGTCCCTTGGAGGACCAAGAATTGCTTTTGGATGTTGTTGTTATTGTGCTTGTACCTTAACTCACTGCTGCATTGAAAATTAATGTGTCAGGTCTGTTCTGCTTTCAGACAGGATATTTGTAGAGCGCACGACAAATGTGATACTCTGGGTAAGGAAAAGCTTTTCTTTGTCTTTTAAGAACTTTTTTTGTAGTGACAATGTTAGTTGCCTGTGCTG